CACCTGAGGCCTCCGCCCGCAGCGGCCGGGGCTGGGTGAGTACCGGCTGCCCTGCCGCCTTCTGCCGTCGGGCCCTCGGCTGGGGAAGTCGAAGGTTGCTCTCGCGTCCCAGAAGTTGCCCCCTTCTCCCCTTCTGGAGCCGTGGTCGCGGCGTGGGTAAACCCTGTGGGTTTCAGGGTCGGTCAGGCAGGTTCCTGGTTTTAGCCGGCTGGAGCAGAGCGCAGCCTTCTCCTGAGGATGCCCAGGAGGCCTGCTCCGCTGCTCCGGCCGAAAGGCTCTGCGTAGAGGCTCCGCTCCCCCAAGTCCCTCTCTTGGAGGCAATGCTAGTTAGCTCAGCCGGTTGCATTTATGTTTTATTCGTATACATTACGTGTCTTCTTTTGTGGAACTCGGCAGCCGTGAGTATCCTTCGGGAAAGCGCCGTTGGTAACACTGCTGGTAGTTGGCCGTACTCTGCTGCCCTCCATCCCTCGGTGAAGCGAACCGATGTCCCGTCAATGCAGTAAGAGAATCTCTGTATCAAACCGCTGGTCTTGTATTGAGCTGGTGGGCTCGCCATCCCACAGGCTAGTATCTCTTACATTTTACCTCTGCATGGTTTTGCAAGTGGCGATTTCAGGTTCCATTCCTCCAGGTTCCACCAGGTTTCTGTTGCGATAATTTAGGTTCCCTGTTCCTTTACAAGATGCGCAGGTCCAATACTGGTATTTTGCTGCATTGGTATTGGGCCCTGGGCAGGATCGCTGCTCGGAAGACTGTTCTACTACACTTTGCAGGAATGTTTGCCAGCAGCTTTCAGGGCATGCTCTAGAGCAATGGCTCGGTCTTGCTTAACATTGAAACTGGGAGGGCGGGGGGTCACCTTCCATTTGAGCAGGGTGGTTTTGCCTTGCTTGGCATCTGTTGTGATTCTCTGGGAAATGGAGACAGGTGGGATATTAAGTGGTTGTCCAGGTAATTAACTTTGAAGCTTTAATTCAGGAAGTTAGATCTTATACCAGAATATGCCAAGGCATAGTATACAATAATTGAATCTGTCTTTTCCTGATGTTATATGCCCCAGGAAGAATATTCACCAGGTATTTCTAATGAATATCCCTACAGCATACTTCAGGGTGTTCTTACTCCTTTTAGAACCTAGTTCAGTTGTCACGGGATTGAGTGGTGTTTAGATACTAACAGAGATTTCTTAGATTACTAGATACTTAAAAAAGAGCTTATTTGCATCTTTTAGCTTAATTCCATAAGTATTTTCTCTATTTTATTTTCACAGTGCCTTTCCCCCTCTGAATTTGGACAGCACCAGAACTTTGCTTTATCCTTTTCCGGCCATCCGTGTATACCAAAAAAGTCCTCGTGTCACTGTATCTACCAATGAGTTACAGGCTTTAAATTTGCTTTTGGCTTTTTAAATAGCTAAAGCTTTTTGTGAAGTTTGGATTGCCTTCATCATCCTCCCTCCGCAGATTCCTTCCATGGGAAGGAAAAAAAGTTCTATTCTGTCTGAAGTCGCCGTTGAGGGCCGCTACTCTTTTTCAGTGCTCGTCTGAAGGAGGTCCCACTTTATAACTTGCAAAGAATGGAATGCATCCATCTTAAATGAACAGGACGCTGATGGGTCCATTATTTTTAGAGTTCAACCAAAATGCGTTTGGTTTTTGTCTGTGTGGGGTTTGGATTTTTTTATTGTTTTTGCAAGCTGCAGTAAGGATTCCAAATTGTTTCACTGTAATAAGTGGATTTAATAAATATAGAGGTGGACATCTTATCACCCTGCACCCAGGGGCAGGCCTTGGGAATTTAGGAGCTTCCCGTTTGCTAGTGTCATTACCCTTTGATTAACGAGAGGTGGGCTTCGCATGGATAGCAGGCTGCTTGGTGCAAGTGTGGAGGTATCTCGCACAAGAACCCGTGGGTTTCCAGGGCCTTTGCCAAAGTCTACGCCACCTCTTGCCTGGAGGTATCTTGCCTTCCTGCGTGCGCCCTTCCACATGTCTGTCCATCCCTTTTACTCAAGGACCAAGCATGCGTTTCTGAGCCCTCACAACCTGATGTCCGGTCCTGTTTCATGGGAGGCAGAGACCCCACGGTCACGGCCAGCTAGGAGCTGGGCCGCGTCTGGGGGCAAACGCTGCTGCTTTAGCAGCTGCCGAACCGCTGTGCGAGGCACCGCGTGGCCGTCCCTGGGATTCCGGAGCCTTCCAAGTTACATGTGCGGTGGGTTCAGTGCTTCGCCTCTTTGATGAACCAAACGTTTCAACTGGATGTCAAAGAATGAGGAGTGGGTCTGGTATTACTACCACTGCTTTGCGGGGAATATCATCTTTTTTGAATAGCTGCATAAACCAGGTGATCAGTAGTGTGAGTGCTGTTTTTCATGAGCAGGTTGTGTTAGCAATACAGGGACTACAGTTGTCTGCTTTTAATGATCTAAATTGGAAATAACCGCACAGAAGTCTGGGATCTCCTGAACATAAAAGGATGGACGAGAGTAGAAGATTTGCCGCCTGCTCGGTGGCTTGGCTTTTGGTCGTGTTATTTGTGAAGTAACTCTAGTAATACATTTAGAAAGTGAAGTCCAAATTGGGTTACCGTTATTTAATGTTATGAAACTACGAGGTAGCTTGTATAATTTGCAGATTCAGCAGTCACCAGTGCTTTTTTCTAAAAATCATAATCCTTCAATTCTGTTTTCACTATTAAGTGCCTCATTTGGTCACCTTCTATGTCATACAATGATTATAATGTTATTTGTAAAGGTGCTACTGCAACAGGACCTTTGAGTGATTTAAGAAAACGAGGATGTGCTCTGTGTGTTAAAGACTGTACGAGAGAGGAGTTCCAGTTTTAATTTTTTGTTACAAGTCACAACTGGAATCTGAGATGTTTGTTAAATGAAGGATTTATATACAAGCAAAAATGTTGCTGTTAAAATTAATAGATGTAGTGGGTCATTTTAACATCCGTACCTGGACTGATGTATGAAATGGTGCTGTCTGAACATAAGATATACATGTATGATAAATAGTTGCTAAATCGTGACTTCTTGTATTTTAGTCTCTTTTCTATATTCTGCCTGGTGGTTGTTCTTTCTGGAAGGTATTTGCATACTACAGCCACAGTTTGGCTTTTTTATGCAGCTTGTAACAATTACTAGTCTTTTTGCTTTGGTTCAGAACTTTGTCTAAAGTTTATGTTGGATCACATCTAAGAAAAATAATCATTTGAAAGAATTTTAAAGTACCGACTGTGCTTAGCGAGAGTGTACTATTTATAGCTTTGTGAGAAACTTGACTGCTTTTATATTAGTAACATAAAAGTTGAAATTGGCCAAAAACTTGAAGGAGCATGTATATTTCGTTAGTAAAATAACTTGCCATTTTCTGTCAGGCCTTTGTAACTGCCAGAGCTGCTGCTGTGCTCAAAATGGTTGGGCAGCCAACAGTAAGGTTTCTTATGATGTCCCGGGTTCTTCCTGTTTTTCACCAAATTGGCCCATTTGGAGATAACTTTGACCAGCATTTATGTGTAGACAGGCAGGGCAAGTGACCATCAACAGAACACAGCTCAACTTCTTTGTGAAAATTGAACTTTACAGAGCCAAAGCTCGCCGGATGCATCGTTCGTCTCCAGCGTCACCACTGCTGATGTTGGTTTGCGGTGCTGCTGTGGGGGCTTCCTCTCCAGACCACATTGGATTTTCTGTGGCAGTCTTTCTCTTTACCACAAGTGCTTTCGGAAGTGCAGAGGGTAAAACTGATTTAGAAGTCTTGCAAGTTAGCAGATTCACTTCTGCTGATTAAAAGCCAAGAAGCAGGGAGCAGTCTGTCTCGCAGCCTCTTGGTGATGACTAGAAAATGGGCTTTGCAGGGTCCTTCCACAGCTACTGAAGTGACTTGGCTGAAAAACGAGGAAGCCACTGAAGGCTGGGATGAGTGTTAGCTAGGAATAAATTGTAAAAATGACATATTAATGAGCTGAAAACTTGAAGCTAGCTTTAAAAAATATGGTGATACAAAATGCAACAGTCATTAGGTTAAGACCCCAATGCAAAGTTTTATTGCATAGCTACCCCTGTGCGTGAAAAAGGTCCTGTCCAGTGCTAGCATAGTTTTGGTTGTTCTACAAAAGAGCCCTGTATACCAGCTCTTGGAAACCATCCAGAAAGTTCTGAAAAAAAGATGCTTTTCTGGTGTATCTTGCATCGTTTGGAAAGGTGGTTTAACTCCATGAGTGGATGAGAATTTCGTCTCCATCAGGGAGGTTTGCCTGGTATGGTTTTACCAGTGTAGATAGCTCAGCAAAACCTTTGTCTTTCTAAGGATTAATTAGGTAAGCAGTTAAGAATTTCCCTTCCTTATCCTTTATTAAACCATCGAATTCAAACATAATAAACCTAAAAGGTAACTTTTAAAATCAGATGCAAGCTTAGGGGTATTGCTGTGTCAGATGGTAAGGGTATGAGATTGCTTCCATTTCGGTGACTTCCAGAAATGCTTTAAATCTGAGGAAGGATGATGGTTCTTTGTGGATCTGATTTATAGACGGGCCAAAGCACTAAAAAAGATGTCTGAAGTCATGGAACTTTGCTCAGCTTTTGGATTTTTAAGGTAAGTTCTTGATCTTGCTGGTGGCCAACAAAAAATAAACTTTAATCCTAGAAATTAAAGTGTGTTATATGTAAATTCTTACTTGGACAGGTAGTGTCCGGTTCATAATAGTGTCTTCAGTGGCAGTCCCGATATGAGCAAGATGAGCAGAATTAGGCCTATATGACCCAGCTTTCTGTGTATTCAGATTTATCAAACAGTCAGGCTCCTCAGTGCAGTTAGATCCTGCAGTATTTTGTTTTGCTAAAGCAAACAGAACCAAATAGGTAGCCCTCTGTTAACTTTTCAGTTATGAAACAAGGGTGTGTACTGTGAAATTCAGTAAGTTTGTAAGATGGCTTGACACGGTGGAGGGAAGGTGGTAGCATCTTCAATCCAAGCTCTTGTATTTATTTTATTCAAGCTCAGTGGCAACTCATTACATGCCTTTGTTAACTGATTATTTCGGTGGGTGAAAGGTTTTATAGAAGTTAATCTGAAAAGCGAAAACTAAGGCTAAGAAATGCAGTAAGGGAGTTGGAGAAGCACAAAGTTAGAGGGAGAGAAAACAAAGGTGGAATATAGAGCAGAGCAAGCATGGGCTCTCAACACAGTCATTTTTTACGGGTACTTGTGCAGTGTGTTTAAACAAGAGTAGCTAACAGTCTTATTACTGCATGAAGTCTATACCTCTGATCTCTGTGCAAACTTCACTGACTGCACTGAGAAATTACGATAGATAAAAAAGAACAACATTTAACTTTTCCCAGGCTGCATCTGTTTGGGTTTTTTTTGGGGGGTGGGGTGGGGTGGGGGTGGTTCTCTGTCAATGTTGACTGGTATATAGTTTTACCTTTTTACGAGCTGATCTGCATTTTTGCACTGTGCTAACACGCATTAAGAAAAAAACCCCAAACTTTTCCTAATGTCGTATTGCACTGTGGGTGTGCTGCGGTAACACCAGAACCCT